AATGGTGACTCTAAGGCTTTGTTTGGCATAATTTAAAAAAGTCAAAAAGTCGCTATCTAATTTAAATCACATCATCTTATTTAAGTAACATCATCTCTCTAACACATCACTTCAAACTCAACTCATATTTCATAAAAAATCAAAAAATACACTTATTTAAATCATCCCAAATCATCCATAAATGCACCTTATTTTTTTGGTTGGACACCCCAATTTTATTTTATTTTTTTTAATACCATCTGATCCCTCAATTATATATTGGTTTGAAACGTTCTAAATAAGTGTATTTTTTAATTTTTTATAAATTTTTTTTAAATATGTAAAAAAAATTTTAAAAAATGAATAAAAAAAATAAAGAAAAAATGTTGATTGATGTAATCCAAATAAGTGTATGTATGTAAAATAATATTTTTTTTTAATAAATACCAAACACCTACTATATTACTAAAATATTAAAATCCTAACCCTAACTCCAGCTTCCCCTCCTCAGCTCCGATGAGACCTCTAGCAACCATCTTAGCTTTGGTAAGCATTTTTCAGTCCCTTTTTCGCCGTCGTTGTCGTCACCCTCCAACCTCTCATCGGCCTACCTGTCGCTGCGACCTTCATTTGTTAGCCCCAGTCCATCCACTTTCACTACCCCACCATGTCATCATCGCCGGCAGACCCCACTCTTCTCTACTACATGTGAACCATTCACTCTCCCTGCTACAACTCGCAAGAAACTTGCTCCGACCAACTGCAACTCCCGATCGCAAAACCTCACCCACCCATTACTAGCTACAACTCACCCTCCGTACGCCACTTGTGACTTGCGATCACCAACCTACCCTCCTAGATCTGGCATCCCTACCCTCCATCCGACTGCAACCCTCTCATTTCTTCTTTTTCTTCATCCTCTTCTTCTCCTTCGTGACTCTCTCTCTCTCTCTCTTTCTCTGCCGATGATGGTAGGTGGTGGGGTTAGGGTTTTAAAGGAAGGGATGGAGGGTCGGCATCAAAGAAGGGGACTGACTGGTGAGATGGCTTTGGCGAGGTGGCTCTTGTAGTGAAGATAACTGCGACGATTAATGGGTGAATAGGGATAAAACTGGAATGATTTGGGATGTTCAACAAAAATATTTTAAAAAAATTTTTGACTGGGATGTTGGCTTGTTTTGGGTAATGGGAAAAAAAAGCTAGTTTTTTTTATTTTTTTAAAATTTAAGATTAGAGAGATGATAATTTTTTCTTACTTCCCAAAATAGCTCTAAAGAATTTGGGTGCTTAACCAAAAAAGTTCGGTGCATTTAGAGGCACGTTTTTGTAAAATGTTAAAAAATCACCAAAAAAGTCAATTTCCAAAATTACTCTTATTTTAAGTAAAGAAGTTATGGGTTAATTTTAAGACTCTTTAACTTTAAGTAAAGGATTGTTTGGGATGATCTAAATAAGTATATTTTTTGACTTTTTATGAAATATGGATTGGATTTGGATTGGGTTTGAAGTGCTGTGTTAGAGAAGTGATGTGACTTAAATAAGATGATGTGACTTAAATAGGATAGTGACTTTTTAATTTTTTTACTTTTTTAAAACTTGCCAAACTAACCCTAAATATCATTTTATCTCGTATTTGAACTAGCACACTTTGAGTGATTAATAAAAACAAACAAACAAAAAATTAAATAGTGGAGACACAATAACAAAACTTTGTGTTTGGTGAAAAAGATTTTACCACTTGAGTAGCACATATATTATGATATTATTTTCTTTATCATTTATTTTTACTAGTGGTTGGACATGCGACAAAGTGATTTTTCATCAATTGTTAATATTATAATTATACGTGTCTTTTGAATTAGAATGTGATATGTATACAAAGTATGAAAATTTGTATAAATAAATTGATCTGTATCCAAAATACAACTAGATAAGAAATGAATATATACTCGGCTGAAGAATTTAAATGATAAATGATAAATTTTATAAACATAAACATTAATTTATAACTAGATTATTGAGATTATAATCTTATTTTAAACAATAAACAATAAGTAGATCCTTTAAATATATAGTATTTCACAATCGTATTCTATTAACTTTCCACTTCAATTTTCTATAATCCATATGTAATACAATTGAAGGTATGAAATTAATTGTACAATTATACAATTTTGTTTAATAGTTCATCTTGTACTACAAATTTAATGAATCCATTATTACATATTATTTGCATATTATTACTGTAAGAACCCATTAATATCTATATGTAATATATTTTTATATATCAAGAGTTGTTGAGTCTCATTTCCTGTGCTATGAATATCTTGCATGATGAAAAATATAATATTTGTCATTAGTATATTTTCATTATGTAGAAAATGTGGAATAGCTTTTTTAAGAAAATGAAATGATATTGTAACTTAATATTTCGATCGATATAAGAATTTCATAATTATTCTCACGATATTTATAAATCCATGCTTATAAGTGTTTGCAAGGTCACTTTCATAAAATTGTCAAGTTACATAATTTATTATGGTATCTGTAAGTAATCAGCATATAACAAAAATTAATCAAAACTTTTTATTTGATATACTTACTTTCTATTTTATCGAGTTACTGCGATAATATTTGGGCATCATTTGATTTTTTTTCTTGTAATTTGACTAAAATGTGTGCATGATGTATATTATTTTTCTTAAACTGCACAATAGATAAGATAATTCTTGTTTCAGCTCGTCTAACTTTGCTTGGAGAGCATGTTGCAATAAATCTTCTTTAGTTTTTGTTTCACTATCTTCTTGTTTTTCTTCTTACTCACCATTATAACTCATTGTAATAAAAATATTTTGACGAGTAAGAGTTTGAGGCGATATCATATTGTTATGAATTTCCAAACCCATTTTCCCTCAATAATGTGATTTTTTATGTGAAGGGGAAAAAAAGTATAATTATTGTTGTGACGGAGGTGTTTTGCAAAGTCTTAGTTTGTTATTGAAAGTGTTTGTTGTAGATACTTATTTGTATGACATGCATGCATATATATATTGAACATAAGTTTATAGAAGAACAATACACAATTCTGTAATTTTTCCTAACAAATATAATTATATTACTAAAGCAATACATGTTAGAAAATTAAAATATCCGATGGTACTATAGCATTATAGATTGACAATATATATGAATACAGTAACATATGTAAATTTACATTTATATATTTTATATATTTATATATGTAGACATTGACATATATAAGACATCACAAAAGTAATATGTAACATTGTTTGTAACAATATAATATAGGTAACAATGAGAAGTTAATTATTCATAATTAAATAGTTGGTATTAATGTGGATGTTTAGTGTTATATTTTGTGTGTATGAACTATTTTTTAATTATATTATTAAATTCAAATAAAAATGAATTTTTTTATTGATAAATCTCATCTAGAGTTGTTCTAACCCAATAAGTCCACCAAGGAAAATTATAACCTAATTAGTCCCATATATTTATACTTTTATTTCATGAGGTCCTTTTTTCCTGATTTATATTATTTGTTGAACTATTATACCGTTATATCTGTTGTTGATATGTATTACATAGAAAAATGATATACACATTTCATTTTTTGTTGCTACCTCTGTTTTGATAGTTACCATTATTCACGTTTTTCTTTTTGATCAGTTTCATTCACATTTGTGGTATTGTTTCATTGTACTAGGGTTTCGAAACTCTCTATTTGGTACGGTTTAGAAACTCTAGTTTACACATGGTGGTGAAATAATATTATGTTCATCCATTGTTGCGGTAAATTTTTGTATTCCTCCATTGTCACTTTGTGTTCGAAGTTATTTGTTCGTCCATTGTTATTCTGTGTTCGAAATTTTATATTTCTCCATTGTTGTAATCAATTTTGTCACAACCATATTCTTGAAATGTGGGTTTGGTTTGATTTGGAATAATGAAATTGCATAGATTGTTAATGATAGTGATAATTATAAAGATGATGATGAAGATGAGAATGTGGGTGACATTTTTTTATTTTTAGAGTGATTGAGTTTTTTTTTTTTTTGAATTTCTAATTTTATTGTT